TTATGCTTTTTTTCTGTTGTCTAATTTATGCATAGTTCACTTTTCTATCTTTGCTTGCCCCATTCATGCCCCCTCTTTTCTCAGTTATTTCAAAACTCCTTGATCTGCACCCATCAGTAAAGAAGGCACCACTTTTTTCATAATACTACAAAAGTCTCGGTATTCCTCAGGGGCTGGCTGTCTGGTCAGGGAGATAAACACAGAAACAAGCAATGCACAGCCTGTTTGCACAAATAGACAGTGCACCACATACTGTTTTGCCCAGTAGAGTGAATAGCCAGCTAGACCTGGGAGGGGGCAGAGTTCTCAAAAATGTTGCTACTTTTGAAGTGAGTTTCTACATATCCGGTAGGCAGGGTAGGAGAAAGCAGCAAAGCTGAGACACTACAAGAACAGTTTGTTCAAGAGCACTGGGGAGAAGCAGTCATGAAAACTTGATGTGAAGCAGTCAGTGTTAGAGGAACCTGCAGTTCCCGAAGAGGAGCATCACCCAGGCCCTGTTACTCAAAACATCATTTAAAGAGCGGATCATCTGTGTTACTAAAAAAGGGAGATTTCATTACGTGAGCTCTGCGAAGTATTTTACAATAATATTTTAATTTTCTCTGAGTTTCTTGAAGCCTGTAGTATGCTATTATATGTTGCAGATATTGTAGAAAAGTTAAAAGTACAGGAAATGCATAAAATAAAATATAACGGTAACACTATTGCTATAATATAGTTACTTCTGGTCTTTATTTTTCTTTAGATTATTCCCCTGTATAACTCTTTTTTTTTTCCTCAAATCAGTGCCCAATACTTCTCTGTCTTAATATATGTGCGAGTTTTAAAAATTTTTATTGAGGTACTATTCTGTGAGACAAAGCATATGGAATGTAGACAGTATAAAAATGATGCATTAATATTTTTCCCTTCATGAAGGACTCTCAGCAATCCTTAGTGTATGTCTTTTTATAAAAAATAAAACCAACTAAGTATTACTCTACGTACTTCTGTGTTAGAATCTGATGTTAGGAGATACTGACTCATAGTAAAATGCTTACTGTAGTGAATGGAAATTTGCATATGTATCAGCTCACATAGTTACTATAGGTGTATGTGTGTGTCACAGAACAAGCAAAAATCTACTTATTTAATATGGAAAAATGAAATATCACTATTCACACTCCCTACTGACATGTTTCATTCAATACTAGTGTTTATAGCTCCTCATAACTGTTCACAAATTGAACTTAATATAAAAATCTTTATCAATAAATATTGACCTATCACATCATTTTGTAAAAGTTCTCTGTCATATTTTATTGGAAGACTGTCCCCTGATTTATTTAATAGGTCCATTAGGCTGTTTTGTATTCTTTTGTATGAAAGTAGTGTTATAATGAGAGCTTGCAACATGGTTCATAGTGCTTACAATAGACATGAACAAAACTGTGCTTATGCTGATAAAGCTTACAACAGGGGCTGGAGGCCAGGAAGAATGAAACTGTGACAGAGAGACAATTTAGGGCACAGTAGTAATAAGAATAGAAAACATGATGACTCCTCTTGATTCTGCTTATGGCCATACAAAGAAACAGACAGGGTTATAGGACATACCTGAGCAAGAAAGGAGTCTGATGGAAATGGTGGCCAAGGAAAGCACTATTTTTTAAATAAATAGATGGATTGTGTGGACAGCTAACTATTAGCCAGGTGAATCCAGGTGCTTAGGTTTAGAGGTGTGAAAGACTTTGGGGAATATAAACATAAATTGCAATCAAATATGGAAGAACCTTGGGATAAAGTTAGACTGTATTACCAGCATGTAAAAGAAAGAAAATGCATGGAAACAAATGAGCTTTCCCAGTGGAAAGATTTATAATTACAATCCAGTGAGAAAATGCAGAATTATAATGCAGAAATAATAACATGGACAGAGAAAAATTAGAATGTTTGATAAATTATTCAGATGTTAGGCCAATAGAATTGTAGAAACAGGCTTAACTCATATCAATGTTTAAAGTTCTATAGAAGAAAAAGACATTAAACTATATTTTAGGCTTTTCTATTGAAAAAAATGTTTAGGCTAATTAATTTAAAATATATTTTAAGTTGCCTTGATTAAAACTAACATTTTCTTTTTTATAATTTTAATTAGGAAGGGGTAAATAATTAAATGTATGAGTAACAACATTACACAGAGAAGTTTTGAACCGTTTAACACAATAAGGTTTATAAAAGTAAATAGTTAAGAGTTTATTTTAATTAGAATAGCAGTGTTCTATAATCTTTAAATATCTTATTAGGTCATGAAATAAATGCTTTTATTTGACTTGTTTCTCATTAAATTTTTACCATTGTCAGAAAAATAAACTTTCAGATTCATACATAAAATGAAAATTCTTAGAACTGAGAAATTGATTATAAGAGTGGTTTCACTTGGCCAAAAATCATACAACTTAATTCTGGAAGAGATATGGATTGAAAATTTTAAGTATTAACACTCTGCTAAATAATCTTTTAATATATAATCTCTTGTTTTTTCACAAAGAGTCACCCAAAACTACATCCTTATGGGAACACCTCAGCTAAAAAACGCTTTGTTTGCAAATTTTTTTTTTTTTTTTTTTTTTTTTTTTTTTTTTTGACAAGAAAAGCGTTTCACAAAATTTTGCTTAATTTCACATCAGGATAAACATGATCATGTCGATCTTACCCACACAAACACAAACATAACTGTCTTCCCCAAAGTCATAAAGCACATTAAGTGTATAAACTGAGATGCCATTGTATTTGGGTTATAAGTAATTTCAACACATAGAAAATATTGTCACACTGGTATGTTACATAAAGTAACTGTAAAACACTTCTCATGGCCCCTTTCATGTGTCTGCTTTGACTCACATTATCTCTGAGACCAAGAAACCAGGTACCCAAGAAACACCCAGAAATTTTGTCCAGGCCAGGTGTGGTGGCGGATGCTTATAATCTCAACACTCCGGGAGATTGAGGCAGGCGGAGTTTGAGCCAAATCTGGGTAATTTATTCACTTAAGGAGACTCTGTCTCAAGATGAAAAAAAAAAAAAAAATTAAAATCTAAGGGTGCTGCGCAATTCAAAGGTCTTGGGCTTCATTCTCAGTACAAAAAGAAAAAAAGAAGAGAAAAAAGAGAGGAGAGGAGAGGAGGGGAGAGGACAGCGGACCAGAGAGGAGAAGAGGGGAGGGGAGAAAAGAGAGAGGCAAGGAGGGGAAGAGAGGGGAGAGGAAAAAAGGAGAGGAGAGGAGATGAGAGGAGACAAGACAAGACCAGCTCAGCCCATCCCCCCCAAAAAAAAGAAAGAAGGAAAGAAAGAAAAGAAGAAAAGAATTTTCACTTTGTCCTCAGGAGCAGATGGGCATGAGCAGAAGGGAAGGAGTCAGTATTGAACTCCAGACTCCGTGATTTACTGGAGTTGTATCTTTTTCTTAGCTATTTGTCATTATTCGGCCTTTGTAATCTGCTTAAATCAAAGTATTCATCATCTTTTATTTTCAGTAATCTCATATAATGTCAAAAATTTTGTGTTTGAGATTACTGAGGAAATTAAAATTAATGAATTAATCTTTAATTAATTAATAAATTAATCTTTAAATCTTTAATTGTGCCTGATGCTTGGTAGAGGAATAGAAATGCAGAGTGAAGAGGTTATATTATTTGGTGTCTTTTTTCTTAACAGTGGAATAAATATCTCAGCTCTGTTCCAATCTGAGTCTTACAAGATACTGGTTAGACTTGCCTCATTACTTTGTGGCTCACTTCCAGAGGAAAAATTATTTGACTAAATCATCAATTGTTTATATCTGCAAGATTTAGTTAATGTACAATCAATTTAGGTTTTTATTGCAGTTGTTTTAAATATATTTAAATTCTTATTATATATATGTATATGTATATATATATATATATATATATATATGAAATTTATTGATCTATACACATGATATGTATTTCAAGATGTGCCTAAAGGTTCACATTATTAGCTTCACTTCCTAAATTATAAAATGTTTTGCCCTATGTAGTTATTGTTTCTTGACTTCAAGATGTTGACACAAACCATATGAGATGCAAAATAATTCTCTTACTGTTTTTGACTTGCAATTATTTCTCTCCATTTGTATCAAGAAAAACAACATTTTGGCATTAGTTGAAAACTAATTTTATATCTAACTTTGTTTTGTAGTTGAGAACTTTGGATCGGTAAAACTAGGTGGGAGAATAGTCGTTTCCTCTTAATCCATATATTGTACAATAAAAAATATTTTTCTTTAGCAAAATGATTCTCATATCCCCTGAGATATATTTTGGAAATTTATTGTAAATTCATTATTTGAAACAATAGCAATATCATAGTAAACTGTTTCTATGACTTCAAAATGTTTTAAGCGAAACTAAACTATTTTAATGAAATTAAAATGTCAGATAAATAAAACTCCAAAAGAGAGTATAAAGAGTCAAGAAGTTTACCACTGCAGTAAATTATTCTATTCCATCCCCACCAGGGGAAAAACAGACTCTTAAATTCTTGCAATGGTTTTTGAGCCACAGTCAAAACTTCTGATTTTGTACCCCAGCTTTTTCCCCCCTTTTTCTAGTTTTTGTACTTAAAATTTGATGCTGTTTGCATACCTGAATTTTACTTTCAGGAAGCAGAATCTTCTTTCTGTGAAAAGATACTTTTAATGGCTGATAAAGACAAGCTGTTGAAAAGATTTTTAAAATACTGACCAATTTACTTTCCAAGGAAAACTTTATTTATCTTGCTATGGTTCCAAGTCCTTGAGAATGCTTAATAAAATAATTATGACTCATTTATGTGAGTGTTCTATCCCCCCACCTCCTAGTCTATATATTGCTTTTGTCATCTGAATTGTCACATTTCTTCAACCAGCAGAAATTGTTTCCTTATGATTTTCTGTGTCTGCATATGCTTTACCAGTTTATACTAACCTTGAAAAATTTTCTTTTTCCCATTTCAAGTTCCACCCAATCTGACTGTTCCACAGGAAAAATCACCTTTGGTCACCAGAGAAGGAGACACAATAGAACTGCAATGTCAAGTAACTGGAAAGCCTAAGCCAATCATCCTGTGGTCTAGAGCAGACAAGGAAGTTGCAATGCCTGATGGGTCAATGCAGATGGAGAGTTATGACGGGACTCTGAGGATTGTGAACGTGTCTAGGGAAATGTCAGGAACGTACAGATGTCAGACGAGCCAGTACAATGGGTTTAACGTCAAGCCAAGAGAAGCCTTGGTGCAACTCATCGTTCAGTGTAAGTAAATTTTACTTCTTTTTGCCTTGATTTGGAGACAAGTGAAGAAATTGTACCTTCATGCCATGAGTTAAACGAGGTGGTTCTTAAAACTTGATCAGGATGAACTATTTCTACACCATTGCTACTCAGTTTAAATGTTTTCCCTAAATCTGTTCATGAGTTAGCTATTACAAAACAGTTGCATGGGGTCTGTATGGGATGATAATGCTGATGTTATGTGGTGTGTTAGTGTTGAAACATCAACCAACCTAATGGGTAAAGACCGTCCACGTGTAATGGAGCAAAGTGGAGACTGAAATAATTGCTAACCTGAATGCTCTTGTTCACGAAGTTCAACTTTCTACTTCAATGATCTCATGCTCTTTACCCAAATTATCCACCTATGTGTTTCAAAGACTCCCTTTGGCTAAATTGTGAAGACCTCATCACTGAAATGCTATGTTTGCGTGTTTGAAGTTGTAACAGACGATGTTGTCCAGCCTGACAGAAAGAACTCAGGCAGGTCTTCAGTGTGGGATTTAGGCCTGCCTTATCTCAACAGATGTGCTTAGTTGGGAGTGTTTAATAAGTTAACTTTTAAACTGTTTTGGTGAAACCACAGTTACAGTTTTTACAAAAACAAAACCCTCTTGACATTATGGGTTTTGTATTTTCCCTTAAAAGTATCTAAATCCATAAATGTAGCAGTCAGTGAAAATGCGATTCTACTGGTCTGACCCATATTGAGAAAATGCAACACAAGATTTTAAAAAATGCAGTCCCGTGTTAGTAGATGTTGAGAAATACTGTCACAGTTGTATCTGTTGTGACAGGGATACAACTGATTGAAGACGTCAATAGATGCAAGCTAAGTTTTGTTCCTTTAATGTACTTTCTTTTAAAAAAGTGTTCAGTTTATCTGTTTCCAAGGTGACTTCCTCGCACACCATGTGATCTAGTGGCTCTCCCATTGGAGTTAAGCCTCCCTGCCTACCACAGAAGCACCTGATGCCAGCAGCCTTTGCTGCTCCAGGTGACAACATCATCATGGTTCTTGAGAAACTCCCTTTTGTGTACTTGCAACCCATCTGCAGAATCAGGTTCTATGTCCGAGTATATGCCAAGCAGCATAACAAGTAGCGCATCTGAAATGTCCCTGAACAAATTCAGGAGTATGTCGCAAGGACATACCCCTTGCCACCAGGTCCTATCTACTCGTGGCTTATGCCTCCACAATGAACAGTGCAGGAACACTGATGATATTTTTAACATGATAAAGATTCTAACTGTTGGAGGGATTTTTAAAAATATTAAGTTGGACTTTTTGCCTAATTTGGATAGCTTTAATGCATGTAAGCAATATTGACATGAAATGTAAAAGACATTATTTCATACAAACATGCACACACCTATGCATATACATCTGTGTGTATGTGTCTTTATGTCACCCTCAGTAATTAGTTCCATTATTATAACCACCAGTATATGCTTTTTTCTTTCATATCTCCACTGTAATATATTTTACTTTATAACCATTTATTAAATTTTTGATGAAATGTGTTTTTTGGCAAAACAAGAATATATATGCAACAGTTTCTTTTGAGTTTCAAGAGTGTCTGAGAATTTGCATGTAGTTTCACATTAAAGTGTCCAAGTGCATTAAGGAAGAAAATATCAAGTTATTATAATGATTACTAAAAGTCTTTAGAGAACTTTTTTCTGCACTTTAAGATTTCTTATCTTTAAATATCTATTATATTGGCAAATTATGAAACTGTTTTACACACATTTATAATTTTATACCTTGAAACATAAAGTGAAAGAACAGTCATAAACAGTGAAAAAGTCTGATATTTCTGAGACTTATTGTTCTTCCTTAGTTTTACTCTTGTCCAAAAAACATGATTTTTAGCAAATTATACTTTAAGCAATTTTGTCTTAAAGTATTTACTTAAGTACTTTAGTGAGTGAGTGTATTTTTGATGTACATGTGCTTGAAAATCACTTAGAGGAGGCCTACACAAAAGGGAATGTCACTTTAGCTCTTAAAGCTTTATTATGCATTTGTAAATTTGTTGTATCTACCATCAACAAGGTCATGTGATTTATGAAATATACATTGAAAAGCAAAGGCTGAGGATAGTGTTAAATTGTGTTATGCAACTGCCTCTTACCTGTCTGCAAATGAGATAGTGCTCTAACAAATATGCTATTTGACAGACTACTGAGAGTTTTGTTGTTGAGATACTCAAAATGGTGACATTGAAATGGTGCACTATTTTGTTTCTAGAAAAACCCAATTTTTTCACTAATATCATTCTTACTAGAGATTAGAGGTAATACCAATGACATGAAAAAGATTGATTAGCCAGGTGGCAGGAAGAGAATTTCCCATGCTCACACAGGAAGATGCTAAAGTCTATCCAAAGGAATTTATAGATGAGCAGAGAAAATGTTAATTTATAAGCAGAGCAATAAAGTATCTTCCAACCCTATAACCTAGAAAGCCTTGCTTAGCTAGGTGTGTTTTCATTGTGCATATTAACTCAGTATACTTCTTGGGAAAACATAATAATTCCGTGTTCTTTCTCTTGCTAAGCTCCTATGGCTCCCTTTTTCTGTGCATACAACTCAAATATTTTTCACCATTTAAATTTTAAACAAATTTCAACACTAAAATACCTCTTAGTGACTGTGAAGGTCCCCACATTTTATAGGCACTATTATTAGTCTGCACTGAATGATTTAAAACTTCAAAGAAAAACTTCATTTTGAATATTTATATTTGATGATTTACTTCTTTCAAGTCATTAGTTTTTATTTCACCCTAGCTTTCCTCAGAACTCTCCTGTAACACTGCCTGTAGAATTGGTTTGATTCAGCAGAAGTAAATACTTCTAAGGACTGTGTAAATTTTGCACTGAAGTAAGATTATCTAATTTCATTCACTTTTACCAAAGGGACTTGACTGAATGACCTTTGGAATGTCCCATAAAATAAATTAGCTGTGTGAATACTCAGAAGACTACATCAGAAACGTTAGGGGAAGTTCAAATTTCAAAATATATCAGTTGGTAATTGCATCAGGACTGTGTACCCAATGCCATTATAAAGAAAAAGAGAAAGGAGGAGTAATTTAGTGATTTTCTCTGGCCCATATAATAATAGTATTATTCCTTATTATCACATATGTGGCTTTTGGTAAGTGTAATTTCTCTGAGCTTTAGTTTCTTATTTCTAAATAGTGAAAATGATTTGCTTTTTACTAGTGTCTAGAGATTAAAATAATTTTCCAAGGTAATGAAAACATTGCTTACCATATAGCACATAATGAATATTAATATTATATTCATTATTGTTATAAACTCACATGTATTCTTAGGAATATTTTAACCTAATTTTTATGACCCTGTTTTTTTTATTCTTATGTGTTGAATCTTAGTCTGTTATAAGGCAGTTATAATAAAATACCATAAACTATATTTTTTTAAAACTTTATTTTAAAGGGAGTAGAACAGAACAATAAAATCAAACAGAACAAAAGTGAGAACCCAATATTGGATTTTGAAAAATAAAACAGGGAATCCACCATTGTTACTATATTGCATACTGTTATCCTCTAAATAGTTGCTCAGACTGCTGGCTTTAGGCTTGCAAAGTCAATCAAACAGTACAAGCATGAGGTTGTTTCTTTACTTCAGTTGTTATCATCTTAGCCTGTGTTCCTCAGAATCAGCTGTCTGCTAATGGCAGGGGAGGGCGGTGTTGGCTCTCCTTGCAAGCATGCTGGCTGGCTCACCGCAGAGGTGGGGAGGTTGGAAGGGTGGGGGTGGCTCACAGGAGGTGGCATGGCTTCCTCCTTGGTTCTCCCCCAGCCGGTGCAGTCTCCATTGGCTCACAAGTGAGTGGTGGGGGGTTGGGGCGGTGACAGCATGGCTTCCGTCTATAAACTGGGTGTTTTATAGAAATACTTTCTATTCTAGAAGTTGAGAAATCCAAAATCCAGGATGAGGGCTCACTTTCTGTTCTCTCGAGCTGAGTCAATTGTTGAAAAAGGCTATTTAGTTTTCTGGGGTCTCATTTAAAAGAATACTCATCCCATTCATGAGAGTGGATCCCTCCTGACCAACTCCTCCCCAAATGCCTTTTTCCAAACACTATCATATTGGTCTCTGACTTTAACCTTAAGAACTTCCCAGGGTCATTCAGACCATAGTACCCTACTTCATTGCTTTTATTGAAAATAGTAGATTCACTCCTTTTAAGATCCCTACAAGCCTAAACAATTCATATCTATCTATGTATCTATTATCTATCTATCTATCTATCTATCTATGTATGTTAGTGCTGGAACCTAGGACCTCACTTTCATTTTTTATATCACAGGCATCATGATACTTGACTGATATATAGATTCTTAATTTGAGGGTCCATTGTCAGTGTTTCTGTTTTGAAGGGAAAACTTAGAGCTTTTTATTTATTTTCTATTTAATAATAAATTTTTAATTTTACTTTCTCTCTGGGAAACTTTACAATATATGCAACAGGAATCTAGGTTAAGGAAAACCTTTAATATACTAAGAAGTTGTTATTGTCTTAAGCATTCATTTTTCATGTTTTAGTGTTAATGATTATTAAATAAAAATCAGCATTTATTATACAGTATTCCATTATTTGAATTAAGTGACCAAATTAGTTCTTTTGTTGCTGACAGTAGTTATTAGAAACATGAATCATCTGAATCCTGAGGCAACTTTAATATTTTTGAAAAAAATTAATATCTATACCTTCTCATATCTCCACCTCTGGTCCCTCTTTATAGTTCAGCTCTTTTATTATTAAAAAAGGAAAAACAGAGATCAATAGTTTAGTTATGTATCACATATACACTAATGTCTGTTAATTCATCAGAAAAGAACAGTTGGTTCTTGGTTTCGCAATTGATCATTTTTTTTTTTCATGATTATCTCTTGTAATCTGAACTACTTTTTTATTTTTATTTTTTGGTTCTGGGAATC